TTTTTAGATAAATCACTGGGAACAGATGTCTTTCAACTGAGTAGTTTAAAGAAGCTCAAGAATGAAATTCCTGAGTTTTTGGCTGTAAGAATATGTTGTCATAAATGGCAGTTGTGTGAGAGACTGATAGATTGCAAATATGATACCCAGAAGGCAAAAATCCAAAAAGGTTTTGGATTTTAATTTCATGATGGTCAATATTTATATATATTAAAGATTTTATTTATTTATCTTTAAGAGGGGAAGGGAAGGAGGGAGGGAGAGAAACAACAATGTATGGTTGCCTCTCGTGCGTCCCCTGCTGGGAACTGGCCTGCAACCCAGGCATGTGCTCTGACTGGGAATCGAACCGCGATACTCTGGTTCGCAGGCCCGCGCTCAATCCACTGAGCTACACCAGCCAGGGCCTTATTTATATTTTTATTTATTTTCCACATTTATCAGAATGGGCTTTTGTTGTTTACATGATCAGGGAAGAAAGTTTATTATTACTTTAAATAGAATGTGATTTGGTTTCTTTTAAGTAACTGTTATTTAAGGAGGGAATGACAAGTGCAGATTTTATTGTGCTACAAGGAAAAGCGTGACAGAGTTTAAAGAGCTGCCATCAGTCTCTGGGGGCTGGTGCATGTTTTAGACAAAGAATTACTGCTTTTATTTGGGAACAGAGAAGGACATTTGAAGGAGAGAAGGTTATGGGATTAAAAACAAGTAAAAAATTAGCCATGTCAAAAGTGAAGGTTTTGTCAAAAATATATAACACAATATTGAACAACTCGAATTTTATGGTAAGTATTCTAGGTTTAGTTCTTGAAGTCGAAAGCTGAGTTGTTAAATTATAAACTAATGATGGCTACAGTCAGAGGAATAGTAATTTACATAGGATTTTGGAGTATTTTAAAGTTTGAAAGATCAGCTTGAGTAGGTGAGACAAAGTTTTATATATTTGGTATGGTTGAAAATATGAGATTCAAAAAAGGTTAAATTAAATACTGGCTAGCTTTCAAACCTCTTTTGTTGCATTAAGGTGAACAATGTATCAGACAACTTTACTCTTCCAGTAAGGAAATCGTGTTTTATTTGCTCTTTCTGGAAAGGACATTGTATCTCTTTTAGGTGGCATTTACATATTCCTCTATTTGAGGAAGGAAGGGGAAGGAATTGAGGGTATTAAGAGGAATTATGTTAGGGGATACTTTTGTTTAAAACATTTATATACTGTTAAAAATAACATTCTAAATGTTTATAATATCTTGCATAAAGCCAAAGAATGTTAAAAGGTGGGGTTTTAAATTTAAATTACTTATAGTTTATAAATATGAATTAAAATAATTATTTTTGGAGAAACTCAGAAATGAAGGGAAAATAGTAATTTCACCATTCTAAATAACTACTAGGGTTTTCTCATGTTTTTAAATAATCTTATGTACATTTTTATATTTTTAAAATACGCCTGAGAATCATTGTACAGATTGTAAATAAGAGTTAGTAAGATTCAGAGATGATACAGTAAAAGTCTATGCCCTAAAAAGGATAACAACTCTCACACTCTGAAGTCAAGATATATTCCCTGGAGCTTCTAAATTGGGTATTTTACTCATTGGGTCATCCAAGTCTTAAAGGATCTAGTATAAAATTCTTAAATTTCCCAGTTTATTACATAATTAGACAAGAAGGAAGTCAAGATTCTGTAATAAAATAGACACTTAAATGATTATTGGGAACTTTAATGTAGGTTTTAACCTTCTACTACCTTTTGACTTCGGAGCTTCACTGAACTTAAAGTGTGTTGAGCTTCAGATGTGTAAGTTTAGTTTACATACATTTAAATCTAACATGTCTAAGTTACGTACGATGCTTTTAGTATATCCTTAGGCTTAAATTCTTGATAAACCAAATGATCTTCATCTAGTATGAATTCTACTCCTACAAGTCGGTTCTCACTAGAATAAATTTCCCTGTGTTCTTGGGGTACATGTCATGTTTTCAGCAGAGGCACTTGTACCAACCCATCCCAGGAGGATTCCAGTTTGATATTTATGTCAGTACAGTCTTTATGCACCACACCTCCACTGCCCAGTTCTCTGAGTTGAAGACTGGTAAGAATTGGGCCCAAACAAGAATTAGAGCCTCTGAAAAGCTGCATAATGAAAACCCTTAGATAGAGTGGTCACCTGTAAAGCTGAAGACTTTTGGAGCTTCTATATAAAGAATTATTTTGACACCAAAAATAGAGAATTATGGTTGACCATGTAAATTTGATTTTTCCCTGCCTGGCTTTGAATTACCAGAATGGCAGCTATATTAGTTTAAAATTCTTTGTGTGGTAATAATAATTAATACTTCTGTAGTGTTTATTATATGTCAGGCATTGTTTATATTTATTCAAGGTGGCTTTGGTAACTTTTTGAGGACACACAGCTGGTAAGTTGTTGAGCCAGGATCTAACTTATGAAAGTTTGACTCAACCACAACACAGTATAGCTTTAAAAGCGCGCAGCTCTCTGACAGGAGACTTGTTCCAGATTATATAGAGAACTAAGAAAAATTAGTGACAGAAGACAGTGTAATAAAAACAAAATCAAAAGACTTAAAAGGAAGCCATACAAATGGCCAGTAAGCATATAAAAAGATGTTCAATGTCATGAGTCATCTGGAAGATGAATATTAAAACAACATAGGTTACTGCTGTATATTCACTAGAGTGAATAAAATTTAAAAATCTGAAAACATCCAACATTGGTAAAAATGTGGAGCATCTGAAATTACCATGCCTTACTGATGGGAATATATAAGGGTATAACCACTTTGGAAAACAGTTTAAATACTACCCTATATGACCCGTCAGTTCCATTCCTAGGTGTAATTAAGGGAGTTGAAAGCAAACTTCTCTCTACAAAAAGACTTGTACTAGAATGGTTTTTAACAGCTTTATTCATAATAGTTAATAACTAGGATCAAGCCAAGTGCCCATCAGTATAAGAACTAGTAAATAAAATATGATGCATTTATTCAGTGAGAGGACTACCTAGCAGTAAAAAAGAATGAACTGCTATTTCAACAATGTAATCAGTGAAAAAAATCAGATATAAAGGGTACAAGTAGTGATTTTATTTGATTACATTTATATGATGTCCCCTTACTGAAAAGAAACTAATGTATAGAAGAGTGGTTTGTATGACATCATTGTAACCTGGCAGTTAAGGAGAGTGGATTGGGATGTGTATGCATGAACATGACTGACTTCACTGTACTAGTCAGTGGGGGACATAGATGCTGTTGAGTGAGCATGTGTACTGTGTGGCCATCACATTCAAAATGACTGAGCAAGTAGAGCAACGAATCTGCATTAAACTTTGCATTAAGCTTGGACATTCCTCTGTGGAAACCACTTGGATCATTCAGAAGCTGCAACTGTGGGCAATTGATGATTGGCAGCATCATCACGACAGTGCTCCTGCTTGTGTGTCACATTTCATACAGAGTTTTTTGGTGAGAAGTCAAATCATGCAGGCAATTTAGCTTTCCTCCACCCCAGATTTGGTGCCCTGTGACTTCTGCCTGAAGTTTCCCAAAACTAAAATCATTCTTAAAGGGAAAGAGATTTCAGACCGTTGATGAAATTCAGGAAAATACAACAGGGCAGCTGATGGCGATTGGAAGAATTGTGTGAGGTCCCAAGGTGCCTATTTTGAAGGGGATGGAGGCGTCATTGTCCTACATACAGTGCTTCTCATAGCTTGTATTTTCTTCAGTAAATGTCTCTATTTTTCATATTACATGGCTGGATAACTTCTGGACAGATCTTGTACTTTAGAATTCAGAACAATGGTTATCTGTTTGATGGGAAGGAGATTTAAAGGACATTTCTGGAGTCACGAAAATCTTATATCATGATTATCATGTTGGTTATGCAGACATGTACATTTATCAGAATTTGTTGAATTATATATTTAAGATTGATATGTTATGTATAAAGAATATTTCAATAAAATATGTAAAGTAAAAAGAAATGGGGAGATTTCAGACAAGAGAAATGACAACTGGCAACTTAAGACTTAGAACATACAGAGACACCAAGTAGCATAGAACTGTTACATAGAACCTTAATTAATAACAATCAAGACAAGTTTAAGTTATATTCAGTATATTTTTCAAAGAAGTCAGCAAGGTGTACTATTTTTAGAAAGGATTTTATCAATAATTATATAAAAGTTTTAGAACTAAAATGTTTAAATGTCAGTTATCTAGAACATTAGTAGATTAAACATACTTTTTAGATTTTATGTAAAACATAGTTGTGGTTTTTACTGGCAAATGATTCTGAATGGAACTAGCATGTAATCTCTTAAGAATAAAGTCTGCCAAAAAGAAGGCACGAAAGGTTTCTATAGAACAATTTGCTTGCTAAGTTACTGAAACAGAACGTTTGTCTCCATATGATTTGTGTGATTTAGATTCCCAGTTGTTAGAAGAAATAAAAAGTGTATTGTCTGAGTTCAGCATTTTACTAATAATATATTCCAGAAATGTTAGAAACTTAGAGGTGTCACTATGAAATGTACCGAAATACAATAATTTGTCCTGGTTGTATTGCAGCAGGTAACTAACTATATATATATAGAGAGAGAGACAGGTTTGATGATAGCCTGTGTAATCTGACAGTGTGTGTCCCTGGGGTTTTTCTTTAGTTGTTCCAAAGCAGCCAAATGTGCTTGAACTATTCAAATAATGAATTGAAATGAGAGTTCTGTAGCCTTTTATATGAGGTTAGTCTTCAAAATAAAGGTTGACTTTTTAAGTTAGTTTGCGGTTTTTGACCTCTTTCAAGTAGGTTACTATCTGTGGACTATTATGAAAGTAGTGAATATTTTAGTTACTACATTTTAACTAATGTGGTCTTTGGTTTTTCAAATAAGACTGACAGCTTGGCTGTTTTGTTTGTTTGTTTGCTTGTTTTTTATGGGGAAGCTAATTTGTGATCTTTGCATCTGTTTTAGTAATAGTTATGCACGAGTGCGAGCTGTGGTGATGACCCGGGATGACTCAAGTGGTGGCTGGTTACCGCTTGGAGGGAGTGGACTGAGCTGCGTCACGGTCTTCAAAGTCCCTCACCAGGAAGAGAATGGCTGCGCTGACTTTTTTATCCGTGGAGAGCGACTCAGGGACAAAATGGTAATTAATACTGCAGCTATTGCTGTAATTTTAAGATTTTGTAGAATGAATTACCTACTTAAAATTTTGATTAGTCTACCACAGTTCATGAGAATTATTTTTGCCCAGGATCAATGATTGTGTTTCTGGAGCTCTTTTAATATTAAACACAGTGAACTATGCCTGTTTGTTGTTGTTTTGTTTGTTTGTGTTTGTTTTTTTTTGCTTTTTTGCAATTGGAAGTACCATTAATATAAACATGTTAGGAAGGAGCTGCTTCTCTGGGTAGGTTTGATGGAAGAACATTCATGGATAGTCCCCCCAGTTACTAACCAGCTACACCCTGCCGCCCTTTCCCCTACTATGTCCCTGGATTGGAAGCTGGCAAGGCATAGTTCACAGGCCAAATCCAGTCCTGCGTCCCATTTTAATATGGTCCGTGAGTTAAGAATGGTTTTTAGCATTTTTAAATAATTGAAAGTACTCAAAAAAGAGTAATAATTGTGTGGCACATGAAAATTATATGAAATCCAAATTTCAATGTTTATATATAAAGTTCCGTTAAGAGACCATAAATATCTGGTCCCTTAAACAGAAAAATTTTGCTGACCCCCAGCCTAGACTTTTGTATTTTGTATTCTCAGGTACTTTCTCTTTCGTTTCCTGTTAATTTAATAATTCTAGCCTCATAAGACTACCAGGTAGCCAGCTTAGTTTTTCAACACTATTATCTTCCATGCAGATAAGTGTTTTCTTTCATGTATGTATTTTAAAATATGAGTCTTAACTTCTGATAATATTACATACTTTTTAATTAGTATAGAAAGCTCTTTCTCCTTTATTTCATTTGTAAGCCATAGAACAACTCTAATCATATCTGAAAAGCTGAGTAATGTTGGTGTAATTCCTCCATCAAGCAAAAGGAAAGCATACACTTAGAAGCATAATGAGAATGAAGTGCCAAAAATTTCTAAGACCCTTGAGAATAACTATAATTCCTTTAAATATATACTTGTGGATTGGTTTGTGAGCTCATTTAGTATCTGATGGTATTTCTATGTATTTTAAGTTCCAAATAATTCTTTTATATATGAACTTTTTAAAAAGATTTTATTTACTTATTTGTAGACATAGGGAAAGGGTGGGAGAAAGAGAGGGAGAGAAACATCAATGTGTGGTTGCCTCTTGCATGTCCCTGCTGGGAACCTGACCTACAACCCAGGTATGTGCCCTGACTGGGAATCGAACCAGCAATGCTGTGGTTCACAGGCCAGCACTCAGTCCAGTGAACCACATCAGCCAGGGCTCATATATGAACATTTTTAATAAATTTACTTTTAATTTTGGTTCTTGGCTTCTGGATAATTTGCACTAATAAATTATTTCAGTACTTTAACATGCCTTGTTAAACTAATTTTTCCTGTTCCCCAATTTCTGCCTCAGTGAAAGGGAGAGTTATCCTAAATCATCTTGAAAGCCTTCTTAACTCCAGTTTTTTTGTGAGTTTATAATTAACTCCTGACAGTGTATCTTAATGAACCAGAATATAGTTTTAGGATTGTAGGAAACCCCAGTTGAATTTAGAAGTATACCTAATAAATTTAACATGTCATCTCTAAAAGTTTAAATATTTAAAGGTGATTCTGGTTTTTGATAAAGATGGTGGCTGGCATATGCTAATGCTAATTTAAAATAAGGCTTTGTAGGCTTCTAAGAAAGATTCTGGTGACTTGTTCTGGAGTATGATGCTTCTCATCTGAGCTAATGGCAATTGGGAAATGTTTTGGAGGAAAATTTGTGGATTTTAGAAACAGTAAAATAGTAAAGATCGAACCATTGGCTATATTAATGGACAGTTTACTTTAGGGTAATTTAATAAGGGACATAATCTGCATAACTAGGAATGAGGCTGGTCAAAGACAGTCAGACTGATGGATTAGTCTCATTGTGGCTTTGACATAAAGCTTGTGAGAATAAACTTGGGATTCAGAAAGGACACAAACGTGTTCTCTATGACAGAACTTACAAAGAGCCCTTAGGTGCAGAATCATAACAGACTAACAGAAAGTACAGTCTTCTGGTAGAAGCACTGACCTAGGCATCAGACCACCTATTGTTTTACCTAACCATTTCTCCTTGAGGAAGCTTGTTATTTGTGTAACAGAATAATAAATATATCACAGTGTAGACATAGAAGAAAAATTATTCAGTTGGAGGGTTACCATGTTTCCTGTAGAGATTAGCTGTATAGTAAAGCATTTTAAGTTATGGGAACTTGTATGATCAAAGACAGAGTCAATAATGCATGTTTATAAATTGAAAACATCAGTCTTGTGGGGTGTCAGGACAGATGGGACAAGTGACACAGTGACACTGCACTGAAATAAGCAGATTAATTGCCCCCCTTTCCTGACCAAGATACTTTTGAAATAATATAGAATTGAAGTGTATATTCTTTTTCATTATTACTGCCTTTTGGAATTATTAATGTCCATTTCTATAGATATTTGTATTGATTGGTTTTATTTAAATGCAGTTGTCTAAGTTCCAGGCTTTTTAATTTATCTAAGAAAGAAATACTCTGTGACTGTTGAGTCTATAAATTTATGAAGTTCTTCCCAAGTTGGTAGTTTTCTTTAAAATTCTTCTTGGTGAGCCCTGGCTGGTGTGTCTGGGTGGATTGAGCACCAGTCTGTGAATCAAAGGGTCACAGGTTGGATTCCCAGTCAGGACACATGCCTCATTTGCAGGCCAGGTCCCCAGTTGGGGGCATGTGAGAGGCAACCACACATTGATGTTTCTCTCCCTTCATTTCTCTCTCTGTTCTATAAAAATAAATAAAATAATAATATTCTTCTTGGTGAGTAAACTATATTTTAATAATATAAAAGATATTTGCTAAAAACTCTTCTTTACTCATTTTGCCTGTCAGTTACATCTTAGAGTAATTTTAGAAATGAAGTACGGTATCTATCCTTCAAACCGCAAGAAAAACTTGTGTTCTTTAGGAAAGAATTGATTAATATAGTCATCGATAATTAGCACATGTGTAGCTAATAAAAAAATTGATAATATTTTACTTATTCGTCCGAGAAAGAGTGAGACATCAATTTTTATTACTCCTTTTATTTATGCATTCATTGGTTGATTCTGGATGTGTCCTAACTAGGGATCAAACCCACAATCTTGGCATATGGGGACAATGCCCTAGCCAACTGAGCGACCTGTCCAGGGCTTAAAGAGTGTTTATAACTTAGAATACTGGTAACAGTGGTGACGAAGAAAGCTGGCTTTTCTCAAGGGTGAAAAAAAGCCCCTTTGGCAGAAGAGTTTTCCAGCCTTTGATCTGCAATTACTTGTACTAAAAATAAGTCTTTTATACTTCCCAAAGGGTTATATTTACTTCTTTTTTAATAAGAAAAGCAGCACAAATAAAGAGCAGGCTGAATGGGGATTTCTTTTTTCAGGAAGGCAGCATTGTGTGTAACTGAGCGGTACTCATTCATTTATTGGCTTGTTCATTCAGAGTAATTAGAAAGTATTTCCTGTGATGTTTACCTATAATTTCCTTGTTTTTATGATGTTTACAAAGGTAGAGTTTGTTTTATAGGTTACCCTTTTGATACTCTAAACTAGAGCTTCCCTAAGCTGTGTGCCATGAAAAATAGTGGCTGGAGTCTCTGGGCTTGTTGCCTCTTAACCAGTAGCAGCTCCTGTTTCATAGTTGCCTTATAAATGTTTTTTTAAGTGTGCCTGAGGAAAATGTTGGAAAGCACTGCTCTACATAGTTGGCTTTTCACACTTTATTGATGATTGAGAAGGAATTCAAAATGAACACCAGGCTTTGGTGTTGTATTCTAAAGGTAATCAAAGTACTGCCTTTCTCCCAGGCACTTGGCCATGGGAATGGTCTTTAACAAGAATAGAGTCTCAGAACCACTTTTCTTGATCTGAGTTGTATCCTCCATTTCCTTCTAAATCTTTATAGCCTTGATTTCTTCACTTAATTTTTTAGTGTGTTAGTGTTATCCTGGATCACATATTTCTTAAATGCTAGTTAAAATTTAATTGTCATGTATAGATTATATCTTTGTACCTTTTTAGTTGAATTGTATGTGATGTGTAAATTTAAAACACTCTTCCTAGAATCTTTAGAAGTAGCTGAATAAACTGTCCATAACAGCATTAAAGGTTTGCTAAAATATTTAGTACTACAGTTTAAAATTACCATGGGGATATAAATTAGATATACCTATATTTATGTAGTAGGCAATAAAATATTATACATTTACAAATTTAATTAAAATTATGTATTAAAAGCATGTTATGTGCTAAGATGACAAAAAATGGAATAGGCTACATAGATACAATAGGACTCAAAACATTTGGATTACTTAAGATATATATGGAAACAAGAAAAAAGCACAGTGCAATTCAGCAAAGTTATGAGATAGCTGTCATTATAAACTTATAATGACAAAGATAATAATGGGTAAAGCTAAAATAATAAAGGTAAAAAGTGAAGAAAGGGAAGACAAGAAACATTTCAAATTTAGCAGGTAGCCAAAGAGATAAAGATAATGTTTTTTTGGTTTACTAAGTATAATTAGGTTATAGATAAAAAGTGGCTTATAAAAATAAAAAATGTCCATAAGCTAATAGTTTTACTCTTTGAATTGACACATTTTAACAGGGGAGTTTCTTTCCAGTTATTAAAACTTGAAACAAAATTAGAGTGATTGTTTCTAGGAAGAAAATAGTTACAATATAGGAGCAGTTTTATTAACAATGAGACTCACCCCCTCAAGCTTTAAAAGACCAGAGGAACATCTTTCTGCCTTAGATTAGATTTTATAAAAGTACAGAACAACAGTTTCCTGCTTAGCTTTTCCCACTGTGCCTCTGTGAATTATTGCATTGTGAAACCTCAGTCTTCCACTAAAAACCAACTGCATTAACTAGTTTTTCCTTTAAGATTCAGCAACTCTCTCTTGAAAGATACTGGTTCTCCTATTTACCAT